GCTGCACCTGATTGGTTAAGCTTTCTGAAGGTGTGAATTAAACATTGTCTAACTGTATACAATAAATGCGTGATATCTGCCTATCAATTACTTAATACGCATGCGCACACGAGGGACGAAATGAACCACACATGCGCAGTAATAACACGAAACACCAACCACACATGCGCAGTAGTAATAGCAGGAATAGCAACATGAGAGTGACAGACATCTAGCCAAGAATTTCCTCAACTCTTGGTGAATTTTCCGACAGTTTTTTTTCTTTAGGGAGGAAGACAATGCCAAGACGCCGCCGCCCTCGTCAATGTCGTGAACCGCCGGGAAATTGAGCAAATTGGGGTGGATATTGTCACACTTGGCTGGCGCTCTCTGGGGGCACATAATAGTGGTGGTGGTGTTGTGGTGGTAGTGGTGTTGTGGTGGTAGTAGTGTGGGAGTGCTATAGGGGTGGTGGTGGTGTGGTGTTGCTGTGGTGGTAGTGGTGCTGTGGTGTGTGGGGGAGTGGTGGTGCTGGTAGTGGTGGCGAGAAGGAGGAGGACGAAGAGGTAGTGGAGAAGGAGGAGGAAGTGGAGGTGTTGAGGAGGAGGAAGAAGGAGGAAGTGGAGGTGTTGTAGGAGGAGGAAGAAGGAGGAGGAAGTGGAGGTGTTGTAGGAGGAGGAAGAAGGAGGAGGAAGGGAGGGTTGTAGGAGGAGGAAGAGGTGGGTAATGTAGAAGAAGAAGAGTTGAGGAAGAGGACACTCATAGAGCTAATGGACGCAGGTAACGGGTCATGGAGGCTTGGGGGGGGCGGGACAAGATAATTACGTGATCACAAAATTCCGGCCGAATTTCACTACCAATTTTTTTCCGGTCATAAATTGGTTCCGTGGGTCTTTATATATGTTATGTTGTTATTGTACCTAACCCAAACCAAATCTAACCTAACCCAACCCAACCCAACCCCAACCCAACCCAACCTAACCAAACCCAACCTAACCTAACCCAACCTAACCTAATCTAAACTAACCCAACCTAACCCAACCCTAGCTCAACCTAATCTAACCTAACCCAACCCTAACCTAACCCACAACCTAATTCAACCTAAATCTAACCTCCCAAAACGATGTCAGATTTATACTATGACTCTACCTTATCTAGTACACGTAACACCTATAGACAAACTGTATGAGGCGCGCCCTAGTGACCCACCTGTAGAAGGGTACCTGACTTACTCATGGGGAAAGTAGAGGTAGTCGAGTACAGTGTCTTTGTGTACTGAAGACCCGGTGTTCAGTGTACTGTAGTGATACTGTTCCACACACACACACACACACACACACACACCACACACACACACACACACACACACACACACACACACACACACACACACACACACACACACATCGTAAAGGAGACGAATAATATGTTTGGTAATTATATTTTGCAACTCCCTCCCTAGCACCCTTCTTCCCTTCCCTCTCTCCCCCCTTCCCTCCCCCCCTTCCCTCCCCCTTCCTCCCCCTTCCCACTTCCTTCCCTCCTCCTTCCCTCCTCTCCTCCTTCCTCCTCCTCCTCTCCCTCCTTCCCCACTTCCGCTTGTCTGAGGTCCTCGTGGATTGTCATGACAGACGGAAGTAAACGGAGCTGGTGGATGATGGTGGATGACGGATGTGGATGATGTGGGTGTGTGTGTGTATGACGGGGGTGTGGTATGACGGGTGTGGATGACGTGGGTGTGTGTGGACGGGGGTGGATGACGTGGGTGAATGACGGGGTGTGTGTGGATGACGGGGTGTGTGTGAATGATGGTGTGTGTGTGTGTGTGGATGACGGGGGTGAATGACGGGTGTGTGTGGGGATGACGGGGTGGATGACGGGGTGTGATGATGGGTGTGCGCGATGACGGGGTGTGGATGACGGGTGTGTGTGGATGACGGTTTGTGGATGACGGGGGTGTGTGTGGATGACAGGGGTGTGCGCGGATGGCGGGTGTGTGTGTGTGGATGACGGGTGTGTGTGTGTGGACAGTAGATGGAGGATTTTAAATGGATGACAGACGGTATGGATAACAGTAGATGGATGACAGTAGATAGATGATAGACGGTATGGATGACAGTAGATAGATGATAGACGGTATGGATGACAGTAGATGAAAGATATTAAATGGATGAAAGACGTAGGATAACAGGACAACAGTAAATGGATGATAGACGGATGGATGACAGTAGATAGATGACGGTAGATGGATGATAGACGGATGGATGACAGCAGATAGATGATAGATGGAACTGATGCCAGTAGATGGATGCCAGTATGGATGACAGACGGTATGGATGACAGTAGATGGGTGCCAGACGGATAACAGTAGATGGATGACAGTAGGTGGGTGGCAGACGGTATGGATAAGAGTAGATGGATGACAGTATGGATGACAGACGGTATGGATGACAGTAAGAACATCAGTAATGACCACTAGTAAGAGGAACAGACTCTTGAGAATACTAAACTATGTTGTTTATTGTGTTAACAGCCACTCTAGTGTGCTGTTATGGTGCTGTTAATGCTGTTATGGTGCTGTTATGCTGCTCTTATGGAATTTAATTTAATTGAAACAGTTTATTTAGCCAAAACACAGATACAGAGTGGATAATAATAACAATATTAACATGGCTGAGCCAGTTGAGAACCTGAGCTCTCTTTTAGGCACCTGATATATACTATACGTTTATGGTGCTGTTAACCCTCCACAGCTATAATGGTGCTGTTACTGCTGTTATGGTGCTGTTAATGTTGTTATGGTGCGTTACTTCAGTTATGGTGCTGTTAACCCTCCACAGCTGTTATGGTGCTGTTACTGCTGTTATAGGACTGTTAATGTTGTTATGGTGCAGTTACTGCTGTTATGGTGCTGTTAACCCTCCACAGCTGTTATGGTGCTGTTACTGCTGTTATAGGACTGTTAATGTTGTTATGGTGCTGTTACTTCTGTTATGGTGCTGTTTCTGCTGTTATTGTGCTATTACTGCTGTCATGGTGCTGTTACTGCTGTTATGGTTCTATTACATCTGTTATGGTGCTGTTTCTGCTGTTATTGTGCTGTTACTGCTGTCATGGTGCTGTTACTGCTGTCTTGGTGCTGTTACTGCTGTTATGGTTCTATTACATCTGTTATGATGCTGTTTCTGCTGTTATGGTGCTGTTACTGCTGTCTTGGTGCTGTTACTGCTGTTATGGTTCTATTACATCTGTTATGGTGCTGTTACTGCTGTTATAGGACTGTTAATGTTGTTATGGTGCTGTTACTGCTGTTATGGTGCTGTTACTGCTGTTATTGTGCTGTTACTGCTGTTACTGTGCTGTTACTGCTGTTATGGTGCTGTTACTGCTGTTATTGTGCTGTTACTGCTGTTACTGTGCTGTTACTGCTGTTATTGTGCTGTTACTGCTGTTACCGCTGTTATTGCTGCTGTTACTGTGCTGTTACTGCTGTTACTGTGCTGTTACTGCTGTTACTGTGCTGTTACTGCTGTTATTGTGCTGTTACTGCTGTTACTGTGCTGTTACTGTTATTGTGCTGTTACTGCTGTTACGTGCTGTTACTGCTGTTACTGTGCTGTTACTGCTGTTGCTTGTGCTGTTACTGCTGTTACTGTGCTGTTACTGCTGTTATTGTGCTGTTACTGCTGTTACTGTGCTGTTACTGCTGTTACTGTGCTGTTACTGCTGTTACTGTGCTGTTACTGCTGTTATTGTGCTGTTACTGCTGTTACTGTGCTGTTACTGCTGTTATTTGTGTTGCTGTTACTGTTGTTACTGCTGTTACTGTGCTGTTACTGCTGTTATGGTTCTATTACTGCTGTTATGGTGCTGTTACTATTAAAGATGACTTGGTCGCGGGTGTTGTCGTGCTCGTGGTAGATGGGGTGGTCGTGGTAGATGGGGTGGTGGTGATAGATGGGGTGGTCGTGATAGATGTAGTGGTCGTGATAGATGGGGTGGTCGTGAGATGGGTGGTCGTGATAGATGGGTGGTCTGATAGATGAGGTGGTCGATAGATGGGTGGTCGTGATAGATGGGTGGTCGTGGTAGATGGGTGGTCGTGGTAGATGGGTGGTCGGTAGATGGGGTGGTCGTGATAGATGGGTGTCGATAGATGGGTGGTCGTGGTAGATGGGTGGTCGATAGATGGGGTGGTCGTGATAGATGGGTGGTCGTGATAGATGGGGTGGTCGTGGTAGATGGGTGGTCGTGATAGATGGGTGGTCGTGGTAGATGGGTGGTCGTGGTAGATGGGGTGGTAGGTGGGGTGGTCGGTAGATAGGGTGGGGGTGGTCGTGGTTGGTGGGGTGGTCGTAGATAGGGTGGGGGTGGGTAGATAGGGTGGGGGTGGTCGCGTAGGTGGGGAGGTCGGGTGATGATGGGTGGTAGGTGGGTGGTCGTAGTAGGTGGGGTGGTCGTGATAGATGGGGTGGTCGTGGTAGATAGGGTGGGGGTGGTCGTAGTAGGTGGGGTGGTCGTAGTAGATGGGGTGGTCGTGGTTGGTTCTAGTTATTAATTGTTGATCATTAAAGCAATAATTGTGGGAAACTTTTATATTTTTCTCTCTTTCTCCATCACGGTCCTGAGATACTGCAGAAAGAGAGAGAGAGAGAGAGAGAGAGAGAGAGAGGTGATGGTACAACGACGAACAGTAGTGAAAATGATCATAATTTTGATAGTTATAAAAATAAATAAATAAAATAATAAATAATAATAATAATAAATAATATAATAATAATAATGATAATAATAATAATAATAATAATAATGATAATAATGATAATAATAATAATAATAAATAAATACCAACATTAATTATAAAAAATAATAATTATATCCCCGAACCAGTAGACCCCGACACGGTTGTACCCCCGACACAGTTTAACCCCCCGACACAGTTGCCCCCCACACAGTTGTACCCCCGACACAGTTGTACCCCAAATGACCAGTTGTACCCCATTAGTTGTACCCCCTTACAGTTGTACCCCTGGTTGTACCCCCGACACATTTGTACCCCCATTGTTGTACCCCCCGACACAGTTGTACCCCCGACACAGTTGTACCCCCGACACAGTGTTGCCCCCGACACAGTTGCCCTGACACAGTTGTACCCCCGACACGTTGTACCCCGACACAGTTGTCCCCCGACACAGTTGTACCCCCGACACAGTTATTCCCCCCGACACAGTTGTTCCCCCGACACAGTTGTACCCCCAACACAGTTGTACCCCCATGCAATTATTTTGACATGGTTGTACCCCCAACACAGTTGTGCCCCCAGTTGCAATTTGTCCCCCGACTTGTATACACAGTTGTACCCACACGTTGCTTTTACACAGTTGTACCCCCGACTACAGTTGTACCCCGACACAGTTGTGCCCCCGACACAGTTGTACCCCGACACAGTTGTACCCCCGACACAGTTGTACCCCCGACACAGTTGTACCCCCGACACAGTTGTACCCCGACACAGTTCTTCCCCCGACACAGTTGTACCCCCGACACAGTTGTACCCCCGACACAGTTGCTTGCGACACCAGTTGTACCCCCCGACACAGTTGTACCCCCTGACACAGTTGTACCCCCGACACAGTTGTACCCCCAACACAGTTGTACCCCCCTTGTCTTACATTTTGAGTTGTACCCCCGACACAGTTGTACCCCGACACAGTGCTTTTACACAGTTGTACCCTTGCAATTTGTACCCCCAACACAGTTGTGCCCCCCGACACAGTTGTACCCCCGACACAGTTGTACCCCCGACACAGTTGTACCCCCGACACGGTTGTACTGCCCCCATTATGAGTTGTGCCCCGACACAGTTTACCCCCCGACACAGTTGCTTCCCCGACACAGTTGTTGCCCCCCGACACGGTTGTTGCCCCCGACACAGTTGTACCCCCACGGCTTACAGTTGCCTCGACACAGTTGTACCCCCATACAGTTGTACCCCAACACAATTGTACCCCCAACTACAGTTGTACCCCCATTTGGTTGTACCCCCCAGCTTGCATTGCTTTTGGTGTACCCCACTTTGTTCTTACCCCGACTACAGGCTTACAGTTGTACCCCCGACACAATTGTACCCCCGACACAGTGTACCCCCGACACAATTGTACCCCCCGACACAGTGTACCCCCTGTTGCCCCGGTTGTGCCCCCATTTACAGTGCCCCCGACGGTTGTACCCCCGACTTAGTTGTGCCCCCGACACAGTTGTGCCCCCCGACACAGTTGTTGCCCCCCGACACAGTTGTACCCCAACACAGTTGTACCCCAACACAGTTTACATTTAGTTGTACCCCATTTAATTGTACCCCCACGGTTGTACCCCCAGTTTGGTTGTACCCCCAACACAGTTGTACCCCTTGGTAGCACCCCCCATTGTTTGCCCCCATTGTTGTACCCCAACACAGTTGTACCCCCAGCTACAGTGTACCCCCATTTTACCCCAGTTGTACCCCCAATTTGTACCCCCGACATTACAGTTGTCCCCAACAATTTGTTACCCCCGACACAGTTGTACCCCCGACACAGTTGTTCCCCCCGACACAGTGTACCCCCCATTTGCAAGTTGTACCCCATTTGTACCCCCCCAGCTTGTACCCCGACACAGTACTTACCCCACACAGTGTACCCCCATGGTACTTACAGACTCTGGCTTGTACTGCCCCATTGCAATTGTACCCCCATTTTGTTGTACCCCCACACAGTTGTACCCCCCATTTGTTATTGCCCCGACTTACAGTTGCCCCCCATTGCTGTACCCCCCATTTGCACAGTTGTACCCCCATTTTGTACAATTGTACCCCCGACACAGTGCCCCCATTTGATTTGTACCCCCGACTTTGAGTTATTGCCCCCGACACGGTTGTGCCTGACTGATTGTACCCCCGACACAGTTGTACCCCCATTTGTACCCCGAACACAGTTGTACCAGTTGTACCCCCGACACAGTTGTACCCCACAATTGTTGTACCCCCAATTGTCCCCCCATTTTGGTTGTACCCCCCTTAGTTATACCCCCATTGTTGTACCCCCATTTGTTGTACCCCCACTTACAGTACAATTGTACCCCCCATTTGTTACCCCCCCATTACAGTTGTACCCCCGACACAGTTGTACCCCCGACACAGTTGTACCCCCGACTTGCAATTTGTACCCCCGACACAGTTGTACCCCCCATTTACAATTGTACCCCCGACACAGTTGTGCCCTCACGACACAGTTTGCCCCCCGACACAGTTGTACCCCCGACACAGTTGTACCCCCCGACACAGTTGTACCCCCCGACATTGGTGTTGCCCCCCGACACAGTTGTACCCCCCATTTGTGATTGTACCCCCATAATTGCTTTAACACAGTTGTACCCCGACACATTTGTACCCCCTTTGTGCCCCCAGCTTGTGTACCCCCGCTTACAAGTTGTACCCCCACAGTTGCAATTGTACCCCATTTACAGTTGTACCCCCATTGTGCCCCCCGACACGGTTGTACCCCAACTTACAATTTGTACCCCCGACACAGTTGTACCCCCACGACACAGTTGTGCCCCCGACACAGTTGTACCGACTTGATTATTTACCCCCCATTTGATTGTACCCCCGACACAGTTGTACCCCACACAGTTGCCCCCATTAATTGCCCCCGACTACAATTTGTACCCCATTTTACAGTGTACCCCCACTTACAATTGTACCCCCAACAGTTGTACCCCCGGCTTACAATTGTACCCCATGCAATTGTACCCCACAACATTGTACCCCCGACACAGTTGCTTCCCACACGTTGTTACCCCCCCGACACAATTTGTACCCCCATTTACAATTGTACCCCCCATTTACAGTTGTGTACCCCCGACACAGTGTACCCCCCCACACAGTTGTGTCCCCCAACATTCCTTTGCCCCCCGACACAGTTTTTGACACAGTTGTGCCCCCCGACACAGTTTTCCCCCACAGTTGTACCCCCACGACATGTTGTACCCCCGACACAGTTGTACCCCGACTTACAGTTGTACCCCCATTTGGTGTGCCCCCCGACACGTTGTACCCCCATTTGCAATTGTACCCCATTTTGGTTGTACCCCCGCATACAATTGTTTTGGTTGTACCCCCGACACGGTTACCCCATTACAGTTGTACCCCCGACACAGTTGTGCCCCCCATTTTGATTGTACCCCCCGACACAGTTGTACCCCCAACACAGTTGTACCCCACGGTTGTACCCCCGACACAGTTGCCCAGACACAGTTGTACCCCCGACACAGTTGCCCCGACACCGGTTTGTTACCCCCACGACACGGTTATTTGCCCCCGACACAGTTTAACGCCCCGACACAGTTGTACCCCCCGACACAGTTGTACCCCCGGCTTCAATTGTACCCCCGACACAGTTGTGCCCACGACACAATTTGTACCCCCATTTACAGTTGTGCCCACGACACAGTTGTACCCCCGACACAGTTGTGCCCACGACACATTTGTCTTCCCCCGACACAGTTGCCCCCGACTTGCAGTTGTACCCCACGACACAGTTGCCCCCGACTTTACAGTTGTGCCCCCCGACACAGTTGTACCCCCCGACACGGTTGTACCCCCCGACACACGGTTTGACACCCCCGACACGGTTGTACCCCCCGACACGGTTGTGCCCCCCCCATTTTGCAGTTGTACCCCCAACGGTGTACCCAGCTTGGTGTACCCACCCCACAGTTGTACTAACACAGTACCCCCATTTGGTGTACCCCCTGACACCTTATTCATTTTGCAGTTGTACCCCCATTGCAATTTGTACCCCCATTTGTTGTACCCGACACAGTTTGTACCCCCGGCTTGTATACCCCATTTTGCAATTTGTACCCCTCATCGGTTGTACCCACCCCTCAGCTTTGTTGCCCCACACAGTTGTTCTTTCCCCCATTTGGTTGTACCCCCTAGTTTGTACCCCACAGTTTGTACCCCCACGGTTGTACCCTACGGTTGTACCCCCACGGTTGTGCCCTACACGGTTGTTACCCCCGACACGGTTGTACCCCCAACACAGTTGTACCTCCCACATTTGTACCCCACAGTTGTACCCTGACAGTTGTACCCCCACACAGGTTGCCTCCCAATTGTACCCTTTGGTTGTACCCCCACGTTGCACCCCGACACAGTTGTACCCACAGTTGTACCCCCACAATTTGCCCCCACAGTTGTACCCCCGACACGGTTGTGCCCCCTCACACGGTTGTACCCCACAATTTGTACCCCCGACACGGTTGCCCCCCCTCACAGTTGTACCCCCACAGTTTGTACCCCCTGACAGGTTGCCCCCCCTCACAGGTTGTACCCCCACAGTTTGTGCCCCCGACACAGTTGTACCCCCCTCCCACGGTTGTACCCCCACGGTTGTGCCCCCCTGACACAGTTGTACCCCCTCCCACAGTTGTACCCCCACGGTTGTACCCCTGACACGGTTGTGCCCCCCTCCCACAGTTTGTACCCCCACGGTTGCCCCTGACGGTTGTACCCCCCTCCACAGTTGTACCCCCACGGTTGTACCCCCACGGTTGTACCCCCACGGTTGCCCCCCACGGTTGTAAGCCGCACCCCTGACACAGTTGACAGGAGGCTGACTTGTGCTGTACCTGTGATGGACAAAATCCAGGAAGACTTGCCCTGACGTGTCGTATACCAGCGTGCGTGACGAACCGTGGAAAAAACATCATCTAGCGTTAAAAACTCCCGGGCGTGGAACACAACCTCCCCCTACCACTACCACCACCACCACTACTACCACTACCACCACCCACCACCCACTACTACACTACCACCTCACCACCACCACCCTACTACCACTACCACCACCACCACCAGCGTCACCACCACCACCACCACCCTACCACTACCCACCCACCTCCCACCACTACTACCACTACCACCACCACTACTACCACTACCACCACCGCCACCACCACCACCACCACCTGCCTACCACTACCACCACCACCTCCACCAGCCTCCCACCCCACCCACCACCAAGCTCCCACCACCACCACCAGCCACCCACCACCACCACCAGCCTCTCCCTACCACCAGCCTCCACCACCACTACCCACCAGCCTCACCACCACCACCACTACCACCAGCCTCACCACCACCACCACTACCACCAGCCTCCACCACCACCACCACTACCAGCCTCACCACCACCACACCACCACTACTACCACCACCACCAGCCCCCACTCACCACCACCACCACCAGCCTCACCCACCACCACCACTACTCACCAGCCTCACCACCACCACCACCAGCGCCAACCACCACTACCACCAGCCTCACCACCACCACCACCACCAGCCTCTCCACCACCACCAGCCTCACACCACCCACCACCAGCCTCACCACCACAGCCTCCACCACCACCGACGACGCTTACCAACACTATTAGTTTTTTTTTTAAGGAGTTAGGTTGGTTTTGGTTAGAGAGTAAATTAGGTAGTGGACTAGATTTATATTTGAGGCATCATTATTATTATTATTATTATTATTATTTTATTATTATTATTATTATTATTATTATTATTAGTATTATATTATTATTATTATTATTATTATTATTATTATTATTATTATTATTACGCTTTTATATAAGATTAGAATTACCTAGTATACAGTGCTGGAAAACTGATATCTTAATACTTTTACCACCACACGAGCAATGGTCTGTGAGTTACCGGGTCGTGTCAGGTAGGTCGACCACCACCACTCAGGACGTGCCCAAGTGCCACGCGGTGCTGCTGGTGACAGGGCCCTCTCCTATTAGGCCCAAGAATGATCTAACCTGACAATGATAAGGAGGCTCCATTGGGCTTTAGTGGCTCATCAGTATAGATTCCTTTTAGATCTGGCAACCATTAGGGCCGAACATGGGCCCCATGTCTGGTTGATTGCAACATAAGAACATAAGAATGGAGGAAACTGCAGCGGGCCTATTGGCCCATACTGGGCAGTCCCATTTACACCCAACCCCTATTGCTCATATATCCACCCAACCTGTGTTTGAAACTATCCAGCGTATTCGAGTTAATGATGATATTTGGTAACTTGTTCCACTCGTCCACTACTCTATTTCCAAACCAATGTTTACCTATTTCGCGCTTAAATCTAAATTTGTCTAATTTAAAACCATAGTTACGAGATCGCTCCTGGTTGGGTAGTTTGAGTACCTTTGTAATGGCCCCTTTGTTTATCCCTGACTTCCATTTATACACCTCTATCATGTCGCCCCTCACTCTACTTCTCTCAAGGGAGTGCAAATTAAGATGCTTTAACCTGTCTCTGTACTCAAGGTTCCTAATGCCCGGGATAAGTCTTGTCATTCTCCTCTGAATTCTTTCTCGGGATTCTATATCCATTCTGTAATACGATGACCAGAATTGAACTGCGTAATCCTGGTGAGGTCTCACAAGAGTAAGATATAGTTTTAGGATGACCTCGCTAGCCATGTAACTAACACTCCTGTGTATGAACCCAAGTACTTTATTAGCCTTGTTTCGAGCAAAAACACATTGTTTACTTGGCTTAAGATTCCTACTCATCATTACTCCTAAGTCCTTCTCACATTCGGATTTCTCTATAGCATCGCTGTTCATCTGATATCTGGTTTCTCTTTACATCTCCTAGACTAAGTACTTTACATTTGTTCACATTGAATTTCATCTGCCATTTTTCAGACCATTCGAAATTTTAGATCAGCAATTTTACTTATGTTGCCCGTCTATGCCGATATCTATGTCATTTATGTATATAATAGATAATAGTGGTCCAAGCACTGAGCCTTGGGGTACTACACTAGTGACGTTACTCCAATCTGATTTAGTGCCGTCGCTGTTTCCTGTCCTGTAACCACGCACTAATCCATTTTAGAATATCTCCTTTAATGTCATGAGCCTCCACTTTTCTTATTAGTCTTTCGTGGGGGACTCTGTCGAAGGCTTTGCTAAAGTCAAGACATACCGTGCCCCTCGTCATTGATTCGAAAACAGCTGAAAAGAATGGTAATAGATTGGTTAGACATGGACGCCCACTTGTGAAACCATGTTGGGAATCATTGATCAACTTGTGCTTTTCCAGGTGATTTCGAATAGAGTTTGAAATTATTGCTTCCAATAAGTTGCCTACAATTGGTGTTAAACTGACTGGACGGTAGTTAGAGGATAGTGATCTATATCCCTTCTTGAAAATCGGTATTACATTCGATATCATCCAGGATTCTGGTACTATACCCGTTTTTAGGGACATGTTAAACAAATTTGCTAAGGGCATACTAAGCTCTTCCTTTAATACTCTGGCAAATATCTCATCAGGACCTGGTGACTTATTAGGCTTTAACTTGTCTATTTACTTACTAACATCGTTACTGGTCACTACTATCTCGCTTTATCTATTTTCTTCCTTATCTCTGTATTGAGTCAGTGCCTCGGGTATCATATTTAAATTTTCGGTGGTGGTTGTGAAATATTTATTCAGATTATTGCTCATTTCTCTGTCGTTATCAGTTAGCTCCCGGTATCTGACTGTATTGGTCCAATCTTTTTGTGTTTTAGTTTGATACATATGGAAGAATCCTTGAGGTTTGACTTCGCCTCCGTTGTATCTTCAGGTCATTATTCCTCTTTGCTTTTCTTATCTGGTGTAACCCTACTGGCCAATACCCTATAATAATCAGAGGTAAACTTCACCATGATTTATTCTCCTACTACTTCCCTCCTGTTCATATATTCTTTAATAATTATTTATCCATTTAGGGTCATTCTTGTCTGATCTGAGTTTTCTGTATGGTATGTTCTGCCTTTGTGCATGTAACTCATTATTTAAATTGTTGTGGAACTCGTCAACCTCAGATCTCGTGATCAGGTTATCCTCAACCGTCATATTTTGTGAGGTTATCGTTGTCAGGTCTCAGTAAGAGTGAGGTCGCCCTCTGTGGGTACATTGTTTGAGGTCGTGTAATTCATCCCCAAACTTGATATCCCTTCTCTCAGCTGCCTTTTCATCCTATCAAAGTTTGCCCTTCTGAAATCTGGGACTTTTATGGAATTTTCCTTGCGACTGCCATTAAATTCTAATTGGAATCTTATTTCTTTGTGATTGCTGTTAGCTTAGTTCGTTCCCTACCTCGACGTTACTAGTGAGGTTTTCTCTGTTTGACAGAACTAAATCGAGTATATTATTACCATTTGATTATGATGTCAGGACTGACAATTTTTGTATGATAATTATGAGTTTTGGAAAAATTTTATTATTATTACCAGGATTGATGATAATTATGACCAGAGTAAGGAAGTATACGAGGTAGTTATTGGTTTACTTATACTGTATATAGCTACTGGAGGGATGTACACTATACAGTATTATATTACCCTAGAGTTTTATTCTGAATTACCAATTTTACAGAGTCATTAGTTAATATGGTTATTATATATAAGAAACATGAACTCCTCTAAGTAGGCATTTGAGTCTGCAGCGTTCAGTCCAGAACACTTTTTGCAGCAATGGAGAAAAGTCTGTCTACTGGAGCTGATACTGGTATGGCCAGGTATTGGAAGGCTGTGTAGTGAGCTTGTCTGGTTGTGTTGCCAGCAGAGAAGGGGATCAGGTTCATCTCCAGATGTTTGTTGGCACACGCAAGACAATACTGGGGTGGATGGGGTCAGGGTTAGCCTGCACTCTTTCTTTGGTGGTTGAGAGATGTCATTCCCAGTAGTGGACACGGGAGGGACAAGTTCTGCAACTTTTTTAAGCCAGAAGGACTTTCATGGTAGGAACCTGGTATGGTACACACCAGTCCAGCCTGAAGCTTGGGTCTAGAAAGGAAGGTAAGTGGAAGGTCTCCTTGTGTTCATACTGTACATCCTCAGTCCCGAGCCTCTTGTCAACAGAGAGTGGTCAGCATCTTCCCTCTATATATCAGAGACAATTGCTGCAACTCAGTCTTCAGTCCTATCATGTAAGGAATCACTTTACTGGTTCTCTCCCTGGCACTAGTCAGTCACTACCTCAAAGCGTGTGAGGATATATGGTTTTTTTTTTGCCCCGGTATTAAGTTCGTTCTTGTTAAGCTCAACTGAGTAGGCCACCCTAATAGGTTTAATGCTAAGAATTGAACGGAAGGAGCATTCTGTTGCTGCTCTCCATCGGGTAGTTTGGGGTCGACACGTTG